GGGGGAGCTCGGCCGCTGCGCCTCCGCCCGCGCCCCCGCCCGCCGCGGGCTGCCAAAGTTTCTAGGTCACGTGCCGCCGCTGGGGGGCCGGGAGGTCAGCGCCGAGTAGCGAAGTCCAACCCGGATGGAGGAAGGGGGACGAAGCCGAGAGCCGCAGGAAGGGGCACGAGGATAGAGGGCGGGGGCGGGGGCGGGTGGGGGCATCCGCGCGCTTCCCAGGGAAGTCCAAAGGACAACGCAGGGCAAGTCTGTGGATGTATGTGCCAACCCTACGATTGAACTGGGACAGGAGGCAGAGGCAAAGGAGGAGGACCCAAAGGGACTTGGCATAACTTCTCATGGGAGTTAGACTGGCAAGTCCTGTAGGCAGAGCTGTCAGCTTTTGCTATGCCCTTGCCCACGTGTCTGGTTCAAAGTACAGGAGGCCAGGCCATACTGGAGTGAGTAGGGGAGAAACCCACCATGCAACTTGTTTCTGTTAAAACATAATGTAATTTAAGGACATATATAGCCTTTTAACAGAAAATATGTAAAAGCGAGAATGGTGTGGCCTGCTTGTGCATTTATAGTTTGCAGAGCATCTTAGTTACTCCCATCTTAAAAATGCCTGTCAGACAGGCATCATGATGTGTTGAGGAAGAACTGAGAGATGCCTGCTTGGCGAAACAGATACATACTAAGACTCTCCTGGTGCCAAGAACTAACCAGACTACAGGATGTGTAACAGCATAGACTTTGGTCTCTAAGAAGGTTCCTGTTGGGTCCGGAAGAGGAAGGAAGGTCAGACTATTAGAGGTATAATACCTATTCATTGTCAAATTCTGGCCAATGTGATCTTAGGAAACAGGGAAAAGACCTGGGGAACAAGGAGCAAGTTAGTCCTGGGGAAGGAGAAATTTGAGAACTAGTTCCTTTAGCACTCAGAATATTAAAAATACAGGTGGTATCTAACATCTGTGGGTTTCTTATTAGCTTCTAGGCACGGTTCTGGATGCTTTACAAGCTTTCTCATTTAAACCTAATGAAGAAACTTGGGCCTAAAGAATGTAACTAACTTAACCTCTGTAGTGGTTAGAGTGAGAAATGCCCCCTATAGCTCAGGTGTTTGAACATTTAGTCGCCAGCTGACAGTGCTGTTTGGGGAAGTTATGAAACCTTTAGGAGGTGCAGCCTTGTTGGAGGAAGCATGTTACTGGGAGTGGGCTTTGAGTGCTTATAGCCTCACCCCACTTCCAGTTTGCTCTCTGTTTTCTGGTGTGCCAACAGAATGTGATCAGCCAACTTCCTGCTCTAGCTGTCTGCTGCCATGCTGTCTCCATCATTACCCACTCTTTCTCTGGAGTCATAAGCCAAAATAAACTCTCTTCTATAGGTCATTTTGTTCATGGTGTTTTATCACAACAAAAATAAACAACTAATTCAACCTCTAAGTTCAAGAGACTAGTTAAGTGGTAGAGCTAGAATTCGAACTCAGGTCTTCTGCTCCAAAGTGTATGCTTTTGCACTACAAAAAGTAGTCTCCACCAGAAGGTTGAAATATCAATATATTTGTATTATGCTCTGCCATTTACTGTGACTTGTGTGTACACATAGTGTGTGGCTGCACTAACGAGCATTTTATGCAAAACTTAGATATAAGAATATGTTTATATAGGGGGAAGATGGAAGATGAGGTGAGTAGAGAGCCCTATATATATACTTGAAGTGAAAAGTGAATGCTCACAGAAGTGAACTTTGAATGTGTGCTCACAGTATGTCCTTACATGTATGCCAACAGGAATCAGGAAGCTTGCATAAGAGTTGCCTTGTAGTGAATCTCAGAATGTAGGTTCCCTGTCTTTCATCCCAGGAACTGTTTTCTGTGTATCGCCCCGGGTGTCTGCTTTATGGCTAGAGAAATACAGCTGGTCTTTCCCAAATCTTCCTGAGTGGGTGAGAACCCAAGCTAACCTCTAAATCACAGTGTGTGTCTCTTCCACATGCACATCATTATCAAGGTGATGGAAGGTCAATATAAAATACTAAGGCTTCCCCAGTGATCCAAAACATGCAGCCTGAAGGAGGGGGACAATGGCATTCATAGCAATGGGGGTAGTAAGGTACAACACCCGGGTTTTTATCCTTCGAGCAGGACGATATTGTATAGTATCCGCTTTAAAGGAAGATTCCCAAGCTTGACTAAAAACAGAATAAAAATCCAAGTACACCCTGGAAATCTGCATTTTAACTCCCTTCCTTAAGTGCGTTCAGTGAACTTTAGTGTTTAAGAAGTAATACTTAACCATCTGTTTGTTCTCCTGAGAAGCTGTTAAGTTGGTGTTTGCAAATGAGCCCATGATGTTGATAAGCCCTCAGTGTGCATTTATCCTAGCCAGGTAGGGCAAGACCCTCCATAGAGACTGGTTCCTCACAACAAAGGGAAGGTCCTGGTCTCCAACGTGATATGCTTTCTCCTGAAGTGAGTCCAACATGTCAAAACAAGGTCCTATGTGGAACTAGAAAAGGATTCTCAGAAAGTCCATGGCTATAATTTGTTTGGTGAGAAGGGATGGACAAACAGGCTGCTTCTTCAAAGCTGCACACATTAGAACAGAAATTAGGACACAGAGACTAGAGAAGTGAACCACAAGGAGACATGCTGGTAGCTGGTAGCAACACATAGTTATAAATATAATGCAGCTGAATCCTCTTTAAAACATGATTTCATTGTAGACACACAGGCATGCGTGCACATGAATCCTGATTAATGTGGGTCTTTTTAAAGCACATAGATAAAATCATATCTCTGCTGCTTTCTGATCTTGTATTACAGGAGGCATAGACGAGGTGTGACTTTAAAGAAAATACCACATTGTTTTTCTATCTAAGTTTGGTTCATTCTTCTTTTCTTTGTGCTGCCTATTGGGTTTGATATCTTTTCCACCCCCCATACCTTAAAAGTCACCATCAATACATTACAAGTTTAAAAAAAATTTAAACCAAGGACTCTACTAGAAACAGAAGCATTTTTAAAATGTGGAAATTCTTTTGTAATGAGGAACATAGTGTTTCATTTTTTATAACTTTAAGGACTAAAAATGTAAATATAAAATGTATGATGCCTCCCATGTCAACTGCCAAGGGCAATGGTAAGTATATAATAAGTAAAAGAATGTCACAAGTCGATGTACTTGTGACATATTTGATCTTATTTCCGATTGTCTCATGCTCCCACTTTTGTTGGTGATTGGTGCTGAATTAAGCGGTGCTTTTGTGCCTCACCCGGGGTCAGACTGCTTAGCTTCAGCTTTAATTAGATCTTGCTTTCCCGCAAAAGGGTCCAACCAAGGATAATGTGCAGCAAATAGAGCAGAACATAAAAGAATATTTAGAGCATAGTCTCAACTATGGAAAAATGCCGAGCATGGTGGCTCACGCCTTTAATCCCAGCACTCGCGAGGCAGAGGCAGGTGGATCTCTGTGAGTTCGAGGCCAGCCTGGTTTCCATAGCAAATCTAGGCCAGCTAGGGCTACAGGGAGACCCTGTCTCAAAAAGACCAAAAAAAA